CTACATCCTTATACTTAGCCTTTGACTAGTTTCTCCTTGAAGTTCCTATTTGGAGTTTCTAGTTTAGAAGGTTATGCGTGTCGTCATAGGCTAATGATCTATTACTTCATTTCTTCATTAACTGATCTGGTTAATTCTGCAGATCACTTTAGAAGATCATTGGGTCATTGATTTTGTAGATCAATTCACATGATGATTATTTGTTTATTGTGTCACATTTTCAATTCTTGAAGATCATTCGGGTTACAGTATCTAATTATATCACTTAATAAAATTACTGATAAAGAACAATTAATGCAGCTTCATTTGGAAGTATATGAAATCATAAAAAAATTATATTTTATCTAAAACAGGTATTTATAAATAATATCAGGAATTAGATATAATTATTGAAAAGATTAATAAAATTTTAAAAACTTTAATACTTATTTTTTATAATACTATTATTAGAAAGTTATTACACATAATTGCAAGAAGTTTTTGAGCTTAGAAACCATTTATTTAATTTAGTTAGTTTTAATAATCTTTAATATCAGGACTAAAAATTTGATTAAAATCAATTATTAAATGCTAAAGTTTTCAAATTTATTTGAGAAGTATTGAATTTATCAATCTAATAAATATAAGAACTATTTGTTAAAGTCTATAGGAATATTATAAATTGAGTGAACAATTAATAAACTTAACATATTTAACAAAATAGGCTTGTCAAAATTTTATTATTAAAGTATTTATTAATAAAATTCCTCTTCTTTTTTTAAGTTAATTTAAGTTATAAAACAGAAAGCTAATATATAATAAAATAAAAAAACATAACTAAAATTGAACTTTTATTAAAAATCAAAAAAATCAAAATCTTACTTAAACAACTCTTTAAAGATACTTGAAAAAAATATTTCAGATTGAAATTAAAAAGTATTTAATATAAGATATAAAACATATAAGACTTTTATAATAGAAAGGATGGAAAAATCAAAAATAAGATAACGCTATATTTGAATATATTTTAACTAAAAAATCATATTTAGCATATAATAGTAAAATTAATTTTTTCTAGCATTTCTCCCTTTTCTCTTACAAAAATTTTATATATTCAGTATAACTAATGCATTTAATACTAATAATATATTTAATTAATATTATTTAATTAATATTATAATAATATATTTAATTAATATTATAATAATATTTCTAATAATAATTTTTTTATTAATTATTCTAATAGCAATTTTTCAAATAGCAATTTCTCTAACATTTATTTTTGACAACAATTTTTAAATAGCAATATTAAAGCAATTTTTTCAAAGTAATTTCTTTAACATTTTATTTCTAATGATATCTGAAACTATCCTATTATTTGTTACTGGCTAAAAATTTACTATTGAAAAGTGATCTACAAAGAATTATCAAATGATTTACAAAAGTTACTGGAATTAATTTTATGTCAATCACAAATTAGAAGATCTGCATAATTCTCATAAGATTCTTAAGATTCTTAAGATTTATCTAATAAGCCTTATAAGCTGAATAATTGTTATAACGCTTATTTTTATTATTTTAATTATTTTTATTATTATTATTATTTATATTATAATTATAATTATTATTATTATTATTATTATTATATTATCACTTGTAGTTACAAATGTAGTTAGTTATAACGTAGCAACTAGTTAGCTGTAGTAAATTAATTTTGTATAAATAGAATAGCTTTTGCTCAAGTTGTAAATTAACTTACTCATTTGCAAGTTTAAACTCTATTATGAGTTTTAGTTTTATTACAAATTCAAGTAATAAATAAAGGAATTAACTTTGAAAAATAATTACTTTTTCCTTCTACATGTCTATCATCTAGAATTTGATTGTGAATCATTACACTAACTTGCTTTTGAGTTTGTCACTTAGAATAAACAAATTCTCTATATTTTTCCCTAAGTTTCTAAACCTTTAAATTTGTAAAGTCAAGTGAATGTAATTCTAAGATATTCTGAATACCTGTAAGACATGAGATTTCTTAAGGTTGTAAAGTCTGATGATAAGGAATTTACTTGTTATAGTAAAGTAACTTAGTGAAATATGTGTAATACAAAGTGAATTATTCCCGGTAACAACATATATTATTTAAATATTTATCTTATAATAAAATATAAAAAAAAGTTTTATTGAGTTGGAATCATTATGTAATAACTGATACTATAACAATACTATGACAATACTATATTTTTACTAATAGATTCATATAAAAATACCATGATAATACTATAACAATATCATGTTATAACTGAGATGCATTTTCTCATTCTAATTAATATAATAAAAAAATGTGAAAGATCAGAAGAATATTCTGATCGGCAATAAATCTACTATGATCGTCATAAACTATTTCTATATAATTATTTAAAAATATAATTTATTTACACAAATAAAAAGATTAATTTTTTTTTATTCAATATATAGTATATATAATAAATATAATAAATATTATCAATAAATTATTTTTTTGCATTTGGCTGGAGGAACTGGTCCAATAGTAATATTAGTGTCAGGAATTACTTCAATTTCATCATTTTCTGTTGAAATATTAATTAATTCATTGTTTACATTATTATTATAATTATTAATATTTACTTTAACGTAATCATCCAAGAAAGCATTTGTTGTGTCGTATCTTCGTAACCTAAACCCCGATAAATAATGACGACTTAAAGTTTGCTCAATTAACCAAAGTTTATTATTAATTAAAGAATCAATTTTTTTTAAAAGTTCTTTATCAGAATTAGAAAAAGGACTATTAATAGGAGGAGAATTAATATAGTTTGATTCACCCTTTCTACCAAAATAAAAAATTGATGCAGCACTTTTTGGGGTTATAGCTTGACTTTCTATTAAGGATAACGGAGCCATTTCTCCATTCGGTTGATTTAAATCTGGAGAATTTCTCAAAAGATATCTTTGAACTATTCCCCATGATCTATAAGTTCCTCTACCAAACAATACCCAATAGGTTCCGAATGCATAAGTGATAAGGCCACCTGCAGCACCTATAATTTCAAATATTGAAAAAGGTTTTTTTCCAGTATAACTTAACGCCTAATTACAAGGAGGAACATTAATTAATAAAATAAAAAAAAAAAAATCTTAAAATGAAAAATTCGCATAACTTACAAAATATGAGTCGGGAGAATATAAAAATCTAGCCATGAGATTTGTAACGTTGAATCCATCCATGACTCTATTAGAGTTCTGTTTATTTATAGTGAAATAGTTATGTTTTTCATGATAAATATCAACCACTTCATAATGACTAAAAGTAAAGGTGTTTATTGTGGGTAATGGAGTTACGAAAGGCACAACAACAGACATGTTTCTTTCTTCATTAAACAATCCAAATATCAACTCGCGATTATCAAATACTGTTAAAGGACTTTGAGTTTCTACCAGGATAATAATTTGATCAAATATTCCCGCACGAAATCTTAAATCATTAGATTTTGATGGTTCAAAAGTAAAGCAAGGCCAAACTTCTCCTTTTGTCCAATCTCCCGTCATTAAAGAATTCGTTGTGGCTTGTTTAACATAATTTGATGACAACAATTCAAAACGATCTCTTGTACCATTATCATTTATCTTACCATGTATTAATTTTTGTATTGATATACCAGAAATTGCTGAAGCACACACGAAAGCATTTAAAACTGGAATTCCTTTGGTTGATAAATCTAGTATATTCATTGATATTAATGGTTCGGTTACTTTAATTCCCGTTATTATAAATATCTTTTGTAATATTACGTAAATCAATACACCTAAGGTAATTACGATAAATATTATACGCAGAACGCATTCGATTTTATCTTGTTTTAATTTCATTATTGTTATGCGACAATTCTATATTTTTTTAAAAAAAAAAAGATAAAATTTTCTTTTTCAGAAGCATTTTATATATGGGAAAAGTCGCGATGTTTTTAAATTTTTTAAAATTACCTATATGTACAGTACACCAATTGTGAAGATTTAATAACTTTGAATTGTTCATAATTAAAAATCCCTTGTCCCAATTTAAAAATAGATGATTAAAATGTATTGATTTCTAAAAATAAGTCATACATATTATTAAATTTTGAACAATTACTAAAAAGCGGACGGTTCCACCAAATTATCAAAATTGGAATCAATGGAACTCTATGAATAAGATTAAATATATCTTAAATTGTCAATCACTTTTATATTTTGTATCTCTTCTTGATATGGAATATAAACGGAAACTTTAAAATATCTTTAGAAATCAATTTGCAACATTCTTAGTCGTCATGAAGAATAACCAAAGAGCAAATGTGTTAAAATGGAGCCCTATGGTATTTTTTTAAATTATCTGAATAAATCGACAAGTGATAAATTGTCGGTATAGTTAAAAGGCATTCAGTCAAAAAATGACATTCTCGATGATCTTAACGTTAAAAACATGAATTCGAAAAATTAGCTCGTGTTAAAAAAAAATTCTTTAAATTTTTGTTGTGTTACGCCGGCGCTTTAACAAAGTTAGATCGCCAATGATCGTGTCTCAGGTGATTTATACAATCCAATTCCTAACCACACAAACGATAACCATGACTCAAATCACCAAGTCAAATAATCAACAACAACCATTTGTTCCAGATTATTTACGAGATACTTGGATAGACAAACATAATAAAACTTCTTTTAGTCCTATACATTTACCTTCACGCTGGAATCCCAACGAATGTTCAACCAACTTGAAGATTCAAGATGGTTTTAGACTTTTATATACAGGGCTTGGACGAAATATTTGGGATACCGGTGCTGTAAGAGCCAATTGTCCAATTCCTTTTGAAACTGGAATATATTATTTTGAAATGGAGGTTATTGATATGGGGGAACGAGGGTACGTTAAACTCTTTATTGTTCAATTCTTTTTTAAAAGTTTTTATTAAGATAAAGCGAAAATTTTTCTTCATAATAGAAATATTGGATTGGGAGTTGGAAAGAAAAGTTGTCCTCTCAATAGAATGCCAGGATGGGAGAAAGATTCAATTGGATACCATGGTGATGATGGGTAATTAATCGTGTTTATGTAAGCTAAAGAAAGTTTATATTTTTTTTTTTTAAAAAAAAGAAATTCTCTAATATTTCCACGTTGAATGAAATTTTAAGTTTGATCTTCTTTCAAAGTCCAATTGGTAGAGATTATGGTGCCTTATATTCGACAGGGGATACGGCCGGATGTGGGATTAATTACTTGGATGGAACCGTATTCTTTACAAAGAATGGAATTCATCTAGGTAACATTCCGCAAAGATTTTAATTTTAAAGATCCTTTTCTTTACTTTTTCATTTAACTTTTGTTTTTATATCATGTAATTATAGGGATTGCATCAAAATATTTATTTGATGGTGATTTGTATCCAACTGTTGGTTTAATAAGCCCTAACGAATGTATTGAAATAAATTTTGGAATGAAACCCTTTGAATTTGATATTGATCAATATGCTAAGGTATTATAACTTTTTTTTTATAGAAATTTTTCACAAGATTAATCTAATAAAATTTTATCTTTTAATTTTGTATAGTATGCATTTGCTGATGCTGAAAATCAAAGGGGCAAGATAAAGAAAGATTCGATACTTTCATTTAACCTTTACTAATGACATTTTATTTATTGAAAAATTTATTTTTATATATACCTTTAAATAGTATATTATAGATTTCGGCTATCATGAAAATATTTTCATGTGGACGTTATAAATTATTATTGTTCTTTTTGTAATATAAATAAATCGTCTATAATTTTATTGCATCTAATTAAATTATAACGAGATAAATCAGTTGACCTTTCATGAATAATCTTTCCAACAATAATTTTATCTAGAATAAGTTTGCTTGCCCTTAGATTTGGAAAATGTTTAAACCTTCAATCGCATGTTTTTTAATATCTAGAATCTGATTTCAGAGTAAATAACAATAAAAGCTTTAAAAAATTGGTGAGTCCAACCATCTCAATAATTTTCATGTTGTGCAAGTTTGTTGAAGATAATATAAAGATATAGGATAATACCAACAAGTAGTAATATAATATTTACAAGTTATTTATTTAACGATTTTTAAATTTTTTTTCTAGCATCATCTTTATCCAAATAAATATAATTGGTAAGAATCCTAAATTATAAAATATTATTAAATTTTACAACTTCAAAATCCATTTGCATTAATTATATAAATAAATATATACTTTTCAATCAAGATTTTAATAAATATTTATTTAAAACTATAATTAAGTAAAATTTGTACTTAAAAATAGCATAAAATTGAAAAAATATATAAGAGCTTTTTTAATCATTCCCTGATGATTTTGTTAAATATTTTTTATATATAATCCTAATCCTAATCTTTACCTTAATCCTAACCCAATACTAACTAATCCTAAATGACAAATAAGGGTATGAAAAATAGGGATTTCATCACTGAAAAAATTCTTTGTTTCCAAAATAATTAGTAAAAGTAATAAAATAATACTAAGGTGAAGGGTTTGGCTTTCATTTAATGGTAAGTGATTTGTTTTTATTTTATTTTATTTTTTGTTTAAGGAACTTTGTTAATGCTCCTTTTCTTTTTTTTTCCTTAGTGGTGGTCTTGAATTTTGACAAGGTGAAGGGTTCAGCTTTCATTTAAATGGTTAGTGATTTATTTTTATTTTTATTTGTTTTTGTTTTAGGAAATTTACTAATGTTCCTTTTCCTTTTTTTTAGCGGTGGTCTTGGATTTGTGTAAGGTTCAGCATGGTAAGTAAAAACTTTTTTTTTATTTTAAAAATTTTATTCTAGTAGTATATAACATATTAAATTTAATAAATTTAAATTAATATTTAATTACAAAAATAAATTTATAAAACTAAAATAAATTA